TGCAACTGTGCGCATGCACGCAGCCTTTATTGGTGATGTTATCAGCCACATTGGCCAAAAAAAGCTGATTGCCGATAATGTCATTTTTTTCTTTATCAGTGCCAATACGTTATGGACAGATATATACATGTACCTCTAAAATACAGACACACACACACACACATTATAAATAAAAATAATATAATATATAAATAAATTAATTTTTTTAAGTGATCCTGCTTGAACTTCCCCAGCTCACTCTAATGGATTTTGCCATAAACCTTCTTAAAGTACTCCTAAGATCCCTCATCTGGCACAGGGTTTCTCTGAACCATGAATGCTTCCTGCTCCCCAACCCAACTCCACCCCCTAACCCAACTCCATCCAACTTGTGCAGCCAGTTTCCTTCTTCCTTGGCTGGTATTACAGGTAAACACTGTTTTTCTACCAAAACCACATATTTCTACCATGTGTTTCACTCTGCTGGCCAACCTTCATGCTTTTCTGTGGGGCCTGAGCTCTGAGGTCCCTCTGAGGCTCTTGGCTCTGTGATTTCTAAGATCCTGCATTAATACCTGATCTTTGTTCTGTTTCTGGGAAATTTCCATTGCTCTTCCCTGCAGGGGCCCTTCTTCTCTATGCTTCAGCCATCCCTGTGTCCTAATGTGCCCCCTCTAGGAGAGTCCTTATAGTTTAGCAGGCCTTCATTGTCCTTAGTCTGAGAGAGATCCGATGAAGCCCGCATACAATGAGGCATTCAATGATACGAATTTTGACTGAGGTTATGAAATTGATGTAAGTTGTATGTAGATTCCCTAATTACACACAGACCTTCTGATACTTGGTAAGCCTGACTCTCTCCTCCCCCCGCCCCGGTCCTCTAGGACAGGGTTGTTCAGTTGGCAGCGTGCAAGGGGCTAATTTGCAGCTCCTGGGCTCCCACCCAGCTACCACTTCCTCTGTTGCTTTGGCTGCAGCCATAGCCAGGGGCTCTGTATTCCCTTTCTTTTTTCAGCTTCCACTTCCTCCCCCAATCCAGGAGGCTATGTGACACGATGCAGCCTGTGGTGCCCATGTGGTGCAGTACAGAGAGGGATGCAACAGCTAGGGAGATGGGGGTGAGGCTGGGGCACCCGTGTGTGCAGTGCAGTAGAGGGAAGTGGTGTCCCCCATGTGGCATGATGTAGCCCACGTGTTGTGTGGCCCCTGGCTGCTTAGAAGTTGGACAGCCCTGCTTCAGGGAATGGGAGCGCGGGGAAACTATGGGCGAGGGAGCGGTCTGGTCATGGATCCGTAGCCCTGCTGCTTGACTACAGTTTGCATCAGCAGACTTAGGACATCAAGTTTCTTTTTTGCTAATTAAAGGAGTTCCTTTCCTTCATATGTGTGTGTTGAGCCCACTCTCTCTTTAGTGTTTGTGTTTCATTATTATTTTAGTTACTGTCAATAATGACAGTTTAAGGGAAAAGTCCTGTGATTGTAGGTTTTACTGCAATATATTTGCTTGTCTGAGTGATGTAGATGCTGTGTGTGACTGGGGAAATATTCACATCTGTTGTTCTGCAATAGAGGTGACTCTTACTGTTGTGGTATAGTCATTTTTCATGGTTAGGCCCAAAGGCCAAAGGCTCATTAATGTTTTGGGCTGGAACAATAAATGCTACATTTCCATTTTACTAACTCCTTGAATTTCTGAGCGTGGTTCCTTAAGCTTGCTCTTATTTTTGTGGGCCAAGACAAGAGTTTTTTTTTCTGTCTAGGTTCTAGTATGAGCACCCATCCCCTAAAACCTTCAGCTATCATGGTATCTGAGTTGCACCCAGTCAATGGTGTCCATTACTTATACTGTGTCTACCATGAAGTGATGGTTTTGGCAAATGAGATAAACCTCTAGGTGATGAAACAAAAAAACACAGATGAATTGCTGCTCTGAAAGTGCATTTTAAATTACACACACAAATATTTTTTTTTCCAAAGCCTGAGCAATGTACTACATTAGAATATTTTGCACTTAGAATTCTTTGAATGGGTAAAACTACTATTTAGGAATGTTAATACTATATCTAAAAGAGAAAGAACTGTACTGGTAGAATTTTTTATATAGTTGACTGGATAAAAAAGTAAACATAAAATGGCTGGTACTTTTTTCTATGACTGGTTCAAGAATCCTTTAGCTTGAACTTAATTATAATAGACCAAGAATATATCCAATGCTTTCCTATTATTAATTTTCTATGTAAACAAATACTGTATTTGTCAAAGGTATTAGATTTCCCCCTGCAGACTGCACAATGTTGCATAGCCAGAGAGAGTGTCAGGGAAGCAAATTCTGTCTGATGAAGCAATTTCCGTATGTTTATGAATCTTATTGAACTGCATTTTGTGTCAACAGAGGTTAGTCAGAACTCTAATTAAATTAAATAGGATTGGCAATTGTTATTATCAACTTGCAGTGTTCTGTGGCATTCATTCAAATATTCCCTAAGAAAAAGTGTTCTAATGTATATTTAGCTGGATGGATGTTTTTAACTGATAGAAACTCTTTGAGTAGAACTGGTTCTTTGAGAAGGTTCTTTTGACTGGTTCTTTTTTCTTCCCTTATATAGTGACTGTAACATGAGTTCCACAAGGATAATGGACTCCAAACTGCGAGAGGCTGAAGGATTTGGTGAAGACAATTCAGGTAGAATGCAGAATTCCCCTAGAATATGAAAAATGTAATTTATGGTTTAAAAATTCTATAGCTAAATGACATTTTTAGCTTTATCATGGAAAGTATTCAGTCTGTTCAGATAATGCTCCTCTCTCACTCCTTTCCCTTCTTCCCCTCCCGCTTGAACTATAGTTTTGGGACTTTTTCATACGCTCAGGGTAAATCAATTTCCGATGGTGACATTCAAAACTGCTGTGCAGGCTGCCATAATTCTTCTCACATGAGTGGAGCTGCCACAGCTTATAACAAGTCTAATTCTTTGACCCCTGTTCTTTGTCTTATTCCACTTTTCAAAACATGTGCCTAAGCCACGTTAATTATTAGTGTGATGACTCTTCGAGTCACTTCTGCAGATGTTTGGGTTTTTTCTATTGTTGGATTGTTTTTCAAACAAACCTAATTTTATCAAGAAAGATAGAAGACTTCTTGGGCCTAGAATTAGCCCTGTTTAAAGTTCCCTCTTCCCTGAGCAGCCCAGCATCATATTTCAAGATTTTTGCCCAATTCCTGTTTAATCGTCTGAGAACCATTGAGTTTCATAATTCCTATCTACAATATTCTGGTTTAATAAAACTAATATTATAAAAAGGATTGGCCTCCTGGCATTTGCATATTTTATCTAAATAATCTATTTCTATATTTAAACTAGTTTTGGTGACAAGATTGTCCTTATGTTTGTAATTTATTTTGCTGAGTGAAGGCAGTTAGTTTCTACTTGTGCATCCTTGACAGGAGTTTTTCCTAACACTGTAATTATATTAAATCTTTTCTCAAGAGGTAGCTTTAGGCAGTATTAGAAAAGATTCTAGATGGCAGGTTATTTCTAACATGCCGTAAGTATCACAACCCTTTTCTCCAGCTAATAGCAATTCCTTGCAATCAGTATAGACAGGGAAGACCAGTTCATATGATACAGCATACTGCACTGGGCCAGGTTGCTTTTCCCAAGAAAAACCTCTTATGAAGAAACCCAATGGAATTCTATAGAATCTTAACTCTTCTTTGTCTAGGAAAGAAAAAGTCAAAGTTCAAATCTTTCAAAAAGTTCTTTGGTAAAAGGAAAAGGAAAGAGACCTTACCATCTATGGGGACCAGCCGTTTGAACCCATGCCAGTCATCCAGTGATGTCATGGCCTCAGAGTCTGCGCACATAAGCTATGATTCTGAAGATGAACTTGAGTAAGTCTTTAAAAATGATATGGATGAATAAAGAACTGATTTTCCCAGCATGAACAATGTATTAAATGTCTAAGATATTACCTCCACCTCTTAGTCAGGAAGCTGTGTTAAGCACTTTACCTCTTTTTTAAAACATTATTAATTAATCCATCTTAAAGAATAACAGAACTTTTATCTTTTTTTTTAGAAAAATAGATCATTCACCCCTGCCCCACTCCCTTCTGCACTGTGAGGATTGTCCCATGCCCCGGCCCGGCCGAGGTGCCATTCGCTATGAATGGGGCCCCAGCTGGGTCGGGTCATGGGACAGTTGGAGTTTGGTGACTCGTCCAGGGGTATGGCTAATTAAAATGAATGAAATGAAAATGTGACTTAGGTGTAGCAATATACTTATTTTATAAAAATCCATGTCACATGAGGAAAAATAAACTTTGGGACAGCATTTTTAAAAGGACTTAAATCCAGTTTTCTATAAATGACTTGGGTTTTTAAGGTCTCATTGAAGGATAATGATACTTGCTTAAGAACCAGATTTTCAAAGCCATCTGAAGGGTTGAAAGATTCAGATAACCCGCATAGAGGCTAAATGCCTAACTTTCATTGCAGCTAGTAGAAATAAGATACCTAATATATTATATACCACTTTTGAAAATTCCACAAAGTCTGTCTCTGCATATTAGGTGCCTTAAATACCTTTGAAAATCTAGTCCTTAAGACCTCTCTCCCAAGGCATACATTCCTCAAATAACTTGAGTACTCTTGAACTATTTCTCCGTGTCTTTATGGGGATTATGTGAACTATGGTGTACAATTTGCATATTTTTTTCAGCGTGCAGACAGGCTGCAGGCTCAATATTCATTCTGATGCACTTTCTTAAGAAAGGTTGGCTGCTTAAAAAGGAAGCTGTTGTTTTAATGCAGGGGTTGTCAATTGGGGGTACACGTACCCCCAGGGGTACTTAGAAAGGTTGTAGGGGGCGGGGTGGTGGGGGGGGGGGGGGGGGGCGCGGAGTGCGCTCCGGGATGCGGCAGCAGCGTCTCCCCTGGTTCATTCCCATGCTTCGCCTCTTACCCGAGGGAGGGGGAAGGATGCTCTGGGCACTGCCGGCCCTGCACAGCACACCGTGGCACCTCCCCGCTCCCCACCCCAACTCGTTGTCCTGATTGGCCTCTACCCATTTACAACAGAATTGCAAGGGTCTGAATGGTGGGGGGTAGGGTGATGGGAGTGTGTTTTGTGCCCACCCCCAGCAGCATGCGATTGGCTGAGTGAAAGGCCCATCAGCAACCCGTGGAGCTGTGACTGGCTATGAGAAATTGGCGCAGCATGCATCCAAGTGGTGTGGTGGTGGCAGCAGCTGTGTGCAAGCCCCTCCTCCCAGCACCACCGCTATGCATACCTGGGAGGGCATGGGGGGCATATGACCCCAGCTCAGCACATGGGGCAGGGTGGGCTGTGGGCCTTTGCAGGCTGGGGCCGGGGCAGTGCCGGGCTGTTCCTGGCGGGGGTGTTGGGCCAGGCTGTGCTGGGATGGGGTTGTGGGAGCTATGGCGAATTTTGCGGTGGATGCAGCTCCCCTTCCCGTATCCCCTTTCCCAGTGCCACCACCACCTGCCCCATGTGCATCCCAACCCAGCCCCTGCCGGGAAGAACCCAGCGTATTCCCAGCCCACAGCTGCAGCCTGCCCCACCCCCCACACAGATCCGGGGGCACATGCCCTCCCGGAGGGGTGTGTAACGGTGGGAGCCTGCCCCCTCCTCTCCCCGCACAGCTCAGCCACACGCCCTGCTCTGGCTGTGCGGTGCCTGCCCCAGCCCCACTTCCTCTCTCACCTCATCATTCCTTCCCTCACTTTCTTTGTGACTGAGCTGGTGGGGGGCACAGATTGAGACGCCCACAGTGTAGGAGGGAGTAGAGCAGGGCAGGGGCAAATCATTCACCCCTGCCCAACTCCCTTCTGCACTGTGAGGCTTGTCCAACGACCAGGTCATGGGACAATTGAAGCCCAGTGACATGTCCAGAGGCATGGTGTAGGGGAGCATGTGTCGTTTCCGCCCCCCACCCCCCGCCCCTTTGGCTCTCCCGCAGTGCGCACAGCAGCATGAGCTGCTTGCCTGCACCCCTGGATGAGCAACCGGGCTCCAATTGTCCCACAACCCCGACCCTGTTAGGGACCCATTCACAGTGAATAGGGCCCCGGCCAGGCCAGGTCATGAGACAGTCCTCACAGTGCAGAAGGGACTGGGGCAGGGGTGAATGATTTGCCCCTGCCCCACTCCCTTCTGCACTGTGGGGGTCTCAATCTGCAGCCCCAGCCCCACTCCCTCCCTCACCACTGTGGGGGGTGGGAACAGGGCAGGAGCCAGGGCTGGGGTAAGTAGGCATGCATTCACCCCATCCCCTGCTCCTGACTGTGCCCTGCTCCCTCCCTCACTGTGGGAACATTGATCTGCCTCCCCCATGGCCCTCTCCCTTCCCCCGCCCCTTCCCCTGCAGACTTACCTCTTGGGGGGTGTGCGCGTGCTCAGCCCCATCCCAAATAATTTTTGCTCTCTTTGCCTATGCAGCGGCTGCCCCAGCCCCAGTTCCACTCCCTCACCGTGGGGGCCTCGATCTGCTCCCCGCCCCCCCTTAAAAACCAGAAAAAAATATAAAGGGGTACATGAGCTGAAACTTTGAGACCAAAGGGGTACACTTGTTAAAAAAGGTTGAAACCCCTGTTTTAATGGATGGCACGTCCTCAAGGACAGGAGTCTGATTAGTTCAGAAATTGTATACTGTAGGCAAAAATATGCAATGTTTGAGTGTACAGTGAGGCTGGAAAGTTAATCATGCAAAATCAAGAGTCCATTTAAACTGATGTTAAATGGTTTTGCCACTAGGCAGCACCAGACAACCAAAATATCTTTAAAAAAAAAAAGACGAGACATTCGTTTTGCATTGTGGGTGGTAGAAAGGATAGGACAGCTTGACCATTACATTTGGAAACCTTAGTGGTATGCCAGAATATCCATCAGAGTTATTGCATTCTTACTTAACAAAAAATATCTTAAGAACATTAATGATTAGACCTCTGTCTTGTTAGTAACTTCACATGTCATGTTGGAGTGCGTGTCTAATTTTCTGCTTATAACATCTGTTTTTCTTTGTTATTACTTTTACTGACTCCTGTGTAAAATGTGAGGCATTTAAATACTTTTAAAGAAAAGAAAATGAAATATGTCTGGTAACTTGATGGAACATTTTGTACATTTCAAACATGTCTCTCCAAGGCTTGCATGTCCAGAAAGAAAAAGGAAAAGGTGGAAAACTTGAGTGAATAAATGTGCTCATACAACAACATTGCTTCTCCAACTGTGTTTCAGTCTTGGAGAATGTAGGTGCATTAAGCAACTGTTGCAGGGGTTTGGGTTGTAGCCGTGTTGATCTAAGGACATAGGCAGACAAGGTTCCTTGGGTGAATTTGATATCTTTTATTAGACCAACCCAAATGGTTGGAGAATAGTTATTAAGCAAGCTTTCAGGTTCAAAAACCCTTCGTCAGGCTAAGGAAGTTTCAGCAGTTGGTGTGTGCTCTTCCTGGATGGAATGAAAAGTAAAGAAGCCAGGGGCTCGGCTCGGCTGGGCTGGGGAGTCAGTTGCCAGGCAGATTATAATGTATCAAAAATCCAATGTCTATGTTTAGTCCCTGATCTCTAGTATCCAGCAGGCTGATGAAATGGAGCTCGTAGGCTCGTCTCTGGGAAGTGTTGTGTAAGTTTCCCTTGAGGATCAGGACTGAGAGATTGGAGAGAGAGTGGCCCTCCTGTGAGAAATGTGCCCCCACCGGTAATTGAGTGTTTCTGTCTTTGATGGATTTCTGGTGTGCGTTCATTCTGGTGCGCAGTTGTTGTTTGGTCTCTCCTACATATCTTCCATCAGGGCATTTGGTGCATTGGATGAGGTATATTACATTTCTGGAGGTGCAGCTGTAAGATGCAGGGATGCTGATGGCTCTGTTGTGGGGTGTAGTAATAGTGGGGGTGGTGGAGATGTGTTGGCAGGTTTTGCATTTCTTGTC